TTCCCCGCTACACAGGTGCACATACCTAAATTACACATGTGGTAACAAATATATATATATATATATATATATATATATATATATATATATATATATATATATGCAAGAGCTCAAGCTCCAACTGGGCAGTGGGTATGTGCCACGAGCAAAAAGAGAAGCAGAGATAGACAAGGTTAGGTAACCTTGAACAGCCAGGCTATGGCAAAGGGTGCCGTTTCTTGCGTCTCTCTGTTGCATTGCACGACAATGTCACAGTCCGACAACTAAACCTTGCGGCTGCAGCCACCTGCCCGTGTCCTCGGAGGTCTTCAGTAGCACGAGTCAAGTAGGACGCTATCTACGCTTCCTCGGTCATGGACTCCACGACCTGAGCGCTGCAGCCCCTTCTTATCAAACCATACACGGATGGCGTCAGTGCCTCTTTGATGGTTCTAGGATGCCACTTGATAGGAACATCACTACCACCTGCGTCTGAGATGGTGTACGGGCTCCATTCGCTCAGCAACGTCACGTATGCTCCCCGTGACGCCGATCTTGGCCTCAAGACTCATCCAAACAGTGAGCCTTGAATTGATGCCGTTCAAGCTTTCTTGGCATATATCGCTGCCACCAAGACACCACGCAGACTCCTGTTGCCAGGCACCGGTGCCCACACGTTCCGTGCTGACCTCCCACTCCATACTCCATCGGCACCTTAGCCGCTCAGGAGTGCTGTCTAGGCCCTCTCGGCCAAGAATACCGCCGCAGTGTGTATGCTAATAGGGGGAGTACTCCACATCTTCAAACGTCAACCCTGGCTTTGCATGCAGTTTGCCTGAAAGCCCCCACCGAGCTGTCCCGCACCATCGCGTGACTCCGCCTCGCAATCAGCGCCTTAACAGCATCGAGTTCTGCACTGTTCCCTGCAGCCTTGCCAGGACTGTACTCCATCGATGAGGCGTTGGCCGCAGCCGCCTGGCGAGACCATGCAACAACCTCACCGGAGAGACGCAGCAAGCTCCAGTATACCCTCGCAGTCCTTTCACACCAATTCGGCTGTCTGGCGTTGCAATTTCCTGGAGCTTCGCCTGCCATGTCACCCTGACCGCCTGTCTTCAAACTACTGTTGTTCCGCGGCATTCAGGATGACATCTTCAGGTAGATCGAGACTGAACACGCTCGGCACCCTCCATGCCTGGCCAGAACATCAAAAATGGCTGGTGGCCATCGACCACCTTCGCGAGGCTGCAAGGCCTGGCACTATTTTGAAGGTGAGCAACAGCAGTCTTGGTTTCAATGATATGCCCAACTGACTACTGTTTTTTGGCCACTTTCATGTGCCTGCAGCCGCTTCGCTACCAACCCTCTGTGCACCACTCATGGGAGCTGTAAGGCACAAAGCCACAGCGGGACAGCTGGGGCCTCTACCACCCTCCCATCTCTCGATGACCGTGAAGGGCGCCGTGCTGGCGATACAGCTGCACCCTGTAACAACGTACGCACTCTTAGATACCGAGTTCCTGAGGGAAACGGCTGTGATGATCCACCTGTGTCTTGTTACACCTTCACAGCAAGCTTTGCGGAACACCCAACGTCAAAGAACGATAAAGGCAGCAAGCTTGGTTTAGCGGCCAAAAATCCAAACTCCGCTTTGTGATCGACTTCCTGTCTTGACATGACCCAGACTGAAACCACATTCAAGTCACAGCAGCCGGTGATCCTGCCTCTAAGCTGGCCAGCGCAGGAGTGCTTAAACGCGTCAGCTTACAGTGAAACGATTCCAGCTCCCTCGAAATCAGCCGAACAGTCGGCACAGTCATTGGCCGAGTGTGCATATGTCCACTACTTGCCAAGTGTCGTCCCAACTGAGAACAATGCCATCTGCAACAAGACAGTCACAGCCTTGACTCCTCATTCGACAGCTTTAGCGTCTTGCAGACAGGCTCCAAAATGTGGTTGCATACAGCGACGTTCCCGTACCATTCAATGATGCCACGTTAATGGAGGCTGGAATTACCAACACGGCTGTAGACATTAAAGACAAACTACTGGGACCTGAGGTTTGCTCTCTTGCACCCAACGACCAACGACCATGCACCAAACGACGATTGCGGCAGACACCTCGACATTCCTTGACACATCGCAAGCAGCGCAGAGGCCGCCGCTCAGTGCACCAGGTGGTAGTACAGCGTGCAAAATTTCCAGCACTGCCTATACAACTGCGACGATATAACGAGACCAACGAGTTGCAACTAATGCAGCCACTTTATATGGGTCTGCATCTGCCGCTCGCTCCTTCTTGTCCAAGTCAATAACGTCGACCCCAGCGTGGACGAGGCGTGCTCCGATCACCCAGTCACAGCTAGTGTCGTCTTCTAAAATTCACCACTCCACTGTTAACGTCGACAAGGTGAGACGTACACAACACCAGCAGCAGGGGCACAGCCCGGGCGTCTCAGACCTGCAACCGCTACGGCACAGCCAGTCTTGGCCACCAAAACCTCCTTTGGCAAATTTTCAGGTGAAGTACGAGCATGGTACAGCCCGGCCACTCCGGATTAGTCAATGCCGCCCGCCGAAGACGCTGTCAGCAGCCCACTAGGCTCACGGTCGGGGCCGAGTGTAATGACAAGGAGCAACGCAAGGGCTTGAGCTTAAAATGGGCAGCGGGTATGCGCCATGAACAAGATGAAAAGAGAGAAGGAGAGGAAGACAAGGTCAGATGAACAACCGGCCCGTAGCAAAGGGTGCTGTCTCTTGTGTCTATGAAAGTTGGTCGCTGTAACGCGGTAGGAATTAATCAGTGTCTAATTTGGCAAAGATATCAGTTAACTTTTAGTCAATGGCAAAGATACCAATGAAATTTTGCTTGCGATCGGCACTGATCGTAAACAAAATTGACCATGTGACATCACAGCATTACTTCCAACAGATTCTGTTGGAAGTAAGCGCATTACCACTTTCTTTGTCCGTATCTCTTTTTCACCTGCCACGAGTTCTACCATGCAAAGCTACGAATCTGCTGGGATTAGGCCCACACTATAAATTTTTTTTTCGAGTGGCTTGTCTTTTTTTTCTAACTTGACCACATGAATCTAACATACAAGTAACTCAAAGAGAGCATCTAAGATTTATTACCCCTACGTAATAGCCTGCGCTATTGATACCGAGTTGAGCGCCAGTGTAGTGACACATATCCCGAAGGAGTACAGCCACTAGCGTGGGTCCAGTCTTAGCGAGCTGCAGGGCACGCGTTAACCGTTGCCATGGCGAGAACACAGTACTGCTCAAGGTCGCAACACTTTATTTTCTGTGGCAACACCAAAACGCAGTACAGCCCGCTGCAAAGGCGCGGCGGGAAAGCAAATGGGCTTACCCACGCCACGGGCGCAAAGTACCACACAGAGTGCCACGAGCACGTCTCCATGGTAAAAGTGATTCACGGAGACACTGAGACCAAGGCCCGGTTGCTCAAGCAAGGGCAAAGGCGCTCGCGTTGGCTTCAGAGAGATACGGGTCGGCGTAGCCTGGCCACGCACTAGGAACCCGCACCACTCCTCAGCCCAGCGTTGGAAGGGGGGGACGACATGAGGTAAGCGTTCGCCACGAGCGCTAGGCGCTGTTGGCGAAGTCCGAACAAGCGCCACAGGGGTTGTGGGGCTCGTTCCCACGGGGTGGTGGTAAGCACCCCTATGTCATCCCCACGGGGTGGTGGGACGACATGGGGGTGCTTACCACCACCCCGTTGGAACGAGCCCCAGCACCCCTGTGGCGCTTGTTCGGACTTCGCCATGTCGCCCCGGAGAAGTCTCTGACCTGCGCGCGACGGCACAGTCGACATCCGCTACCGGGTGAGAGGGGTTAAACGCCACTCCGCTCTTCCAGCGCGGCAGACAGCAGAGGAGGCAAGTCGTGTCGGGACATGAGAGTGGAGAAAGAGGCGGCAAATCCCGCGCAAATGCAGCGGGCTAGCCTCAATTCCCACAAGATGCAACTTTTTATAATGTTTGAGTGTAGTTCATTTATCCCTCACAGAAATCGGCATAACGCAAAAACGAAACTTGTCCTTATAGAAGTAGTTGAGTGTTTACGGTACATTGATATGAGAGCTTCCACAAAGTCTATTTTTGACCGCTATACCATTGTTTAACGGGAGTGCGCCCACATTGATGCTTAGTAATGCGTCTCTATTTCGATGACTAATGTTTCATGATCAGTGATTAAACAAGCCCTTCAGGTCACAGACTCTTGTGGTAGGTGTAGTAGTTCGCGGTGAAAGTATAATGTGGGAAAGCAGTGTGACAGCCAGGAGAGCCGTAAGTGAATGGATGCTGGGCTTGCTCTAAAATTGCCTACTGGCGGCATGCTAGAATATTGAATGCCCCTGCCCAACTAGAGAGCAACACATGGTGCATCGTTTCTACGCTGTTGGCTGACTGAGATATTTAGCGAGACGAATGTAAGTGGAAAATATGTTGCTACAGCCAGACTTGGAGCTATTTGGTATGAATTTTATGGGCAAAGCCAATGCCAATTGTAATGTCGTCATCTGATTCTACGTTAATGCATTGACGAAATTGCACTTATTCTATTGTAAACGTGCTGGGTTGGACAGACACGTAAAAAAGAGGCATTGAAGAACTAATTGTGGATGTCACGGTCGTCATGCATTACTTCACTTCACCATGAGCGCTGTGAAATGACAATGTTAGATATAAAAGGCATATCTGTAAAGCTTCCAGCGTATGTGGGCGTAGCGCAGTGGTTAGCGGGCTCAGCCTCTGTTATCGCAGACGGAAATGTCGTTGTTTCGATTCTCGTCGACAGAACATTTTTTTTTTTTTGCTTTCTGATCATGTGTGTTTTTTTGCTGTCATTTCTGTGATGGAAATACGCACTGAAGTCTTGGTGGACCCTGGCATAAAACACTTTCGTATTAAAAGCAAGCTTCTTCTATGTCATAACTGTCATTCAAAAGGGCCAGCCAAAGCCTAATGCAGATGTGCCGTCTTCCATTCCAGTTGATTGTGTTAATGGCACTTGCGAATGGAACATCGCGAATTCTCTGTGGACCTCTGACATCGCACACTGAAACTGCCATCTATGTTGCCCATCTATTAACACAGGTAAGCTTGTTCTAACCTTCAGCGCTTTAATGAAAGTTCATCCGGGCATATACGTAATTTTTCAACTGCATACCATATTTACATTCTATAAATATACAGAAAGGAACTCTGTAGGAGCTCCAATGCATGACGCTTCAGCCAGCATGGGAATAATGGGTAGTGCACGGATTTGTCTAAACTTCGTTCTTTGGGCTTTGTTTGGCCTGAAACCACTTTGTCAAAAGACCAAAATTAGCAAATGTTGAGCAATTTCACTTTGCCACCTTTGAGGCATCAGTTTGCGAAGTTCACAATGATTCAGTCTTTGTCCGAGACAACAATAAATGAAGCCACAAGTGTGTGTTTTAAGCTGCAAGCACAAAGATTGGGCAAATCTATATACTGCTACCCCTCATTTTCGTGGTGGCTGAACGATCGCAGCACCAGAGTTCTCTCTAGTAGGAATTGTAGGAAACTAAACATGGTTTAAAATGAGCTGCGCTATCTATGAATGGGAATAGTGGGGAAGAAGCTCTGAATACGTGGCACATTGGGGACCGTGCTATTTCAACATTCACTCCTCCTATACAGCCTTTACCCCTTGACAGCACTCCGCGTGCGAGTGAATCCGTACCATGTCATTTATGGTGCTACATGACAGCTAGGATATCACATGCAAAACTGGCAACAATAGAATTACTCAACCACTTGCACAGCTCAAACAATGTCTACAAAAGGGACTAGAAAACTCTTAGCAACTGCTCATTGCAATGCAGTTTGGCAATTGTGTGTTTTTTTTTTGTTTCTATCGCACTAGATTGCTTACGAGTTTTAAGCTTTTTCTTTAGCACATGTAGGACTAGAGTTTCATTGTTTACTCAGTATTAAACACGGAAAATGACACAAGATAATGCATACAAACTTCGATTGTGTATGTTTCCATGTGTTTGCCTACCGTGCACTTAACTTTTTCAGTACACTATGGTGAAAGTCCGGGCCTTTTTTTTGGTGCATGGAAGATACGATTGCGTTTGTATAATTTGTCTTTTTTCTTTACTTGAGGCTCGAAAAAGTTCTGCATTGTAAATTTTGCGACCTGTTGCACCGCACTTGTTGCCTGTGCGCACATAACACAACATGATAATAATGAGAACTGACATGCAGTGATGCCAAGGCAAGTGTAGGTGATGTTATTAGTAGCCAGGCACAAAACAACCTAGTTCAATTCTCCAGGCCTATGCACTTATGTTTCGATCCTCTCCAAGTCGCCCCTAGACTGTTTTGTATGCATTTTATCTACAGATAGAGATGTCTGCCCATTCTGTAACTATTCTCACGTCTTGACTGTCTGATCAGCCTGCATCAATCCCGAGTGGCTCTCCAGCATCCTCGCCTCTATTCTGCAACGAAACGCTTAAGAAATAATGTCCCGCTATCCACTATTTTACCTTGGACAACAATTCCTCTGCATTGTAGTTAATTCACATCTAGGACTGTTGGCGTCTTTCACTGAAGCATTTCACATTGCTTAATCATAAAGGCCTTGTCACTGATTTCGAAGAGTGTGTTCACTTAGCAGAAAAGTAAGTGTGAGCTGTCACGTGACGTGGGAAGTGATGCAATGCACATGTATGAGAAATCTTGTACGGCAATGTGATTTCAAACAAAGCACAGTTGAAAGGCCAATGTTTTTCTGTGTGTACCGCCTTCTTGTGCATGTGTTTGTGTGTATTTGCTGGTACCACGTTTTAAAGCTTTATCACAGCATTTTTTACCGGGGTTGCCAGGTCAAAATGACAAAAGCCATGAAATGAAAAAATTGAGCCATAAAGGAGTCAGTTTGTGCCAAGAGTAGCTATACGTTTGGGAAAAATGTTATGATGCTGTTATTCAATTGTGGCTAAATTCAAGATCCATCTGGTGGAAACTCTGGTACTCACTGCGAAAACTTTTCAAAACGATTATCCTGCAGATTAACGCTCAAATCAATCATTTCCAACAGCCTTCGTCAGTATGCTCACAGGACAGCGGCTGTCGTGTGTGCTTCGTCAACCACGATGGACTAAGTCAATCAAGCTTCCATACTTATTCAAGATGTTTGATTCACCTTGAGGTTGTGTTGCACTTTGCCCTGCGCTGATGCGGGGAGCAGACCTGAACGGGCTTCAAGGGGCTCGTCAATGCCATCTGCCTGACTTGCAGCGATAGATTTACGGTCTGAACAACTGGTCCTTCCAAGACTTTATGAAGGAAATGCAACTGAACAGTTTTTGTATATATGTATAAATGCCACTGGGCAAACTTTTGCAATTAAAAAAATGAGTCGACAAGAAACTAGCCAAGAAGTAGTCTATACCTTTCTATGCTGCCACAGGCCTTAAAAAGTAGCCAAATTGCCACAATGTAGCCAAGCCTGGCAACCCTGATTTTTACCACTAATTTGCTACAGTTTTGTCTACTGTCATAGTGATGGTGTGTGTGCTTTGTGTTGTCTCGACAGGCCAAGTTTAAACCTTGCCCACAGGAGGGCGGCACTGTACTCCTTGAATGTGCTGGAGCTGGCACCCACATACCGAAGCTGCAGTGATGACTGCAACATTATGCAACTCTGTTTTGTCAAAGCTGGAAGTAGGGTTCCTGTGGCAGGTTCATGATGGAAAGTAAATAATATTTTGGACTTCATGAAAATGCGACAACAGTGAAAAATAAAAGTATACAAGATTTGCAGAGGCCATAGCTAACCGATTCATCTGAAAATAGAATTTTGCTGAGAAATTGTGCGGCCCCAACAAACATAGGTGACACACAAGAATGGTGCATGCCATGACATTACATCGAACTAATCTTTTTAAACATTAAGTACCATATATGGATGTTATAACATCCAAAAGGAAATGGAAGCTGTCAAAAAAATCAATTTCGGTCATGAATTGTAGTAGTTATGACCAATCCTTGTTCAGAAGAGGCTGCTGATTTTAAAGTTCACAGAAAAAAAAATTCTTTTTCTTTACTCTTTTGCTTACCTTGTCTCTTTAACGTGTAACCTAAATGCACGTTTTTACCCCTGCATATAAGTGTGAAAGCCAATGCTGGGATTCGAACCTCCAACTTTCAGATCAGCATTTAAGTGCCATAATCACTAGGCCACCACGGTGTGTAATGATAAAGTTCAAGGCTAAGGTGGCATGCCCAAGCCACGTTAGAATTGCCACTTCAAATATTTAATATAAGGAAGCGCTTTATTCGAGACAAGCTCGAGCTGACCTGCTGATGATGTTATATACAGATGACAGTGGTGATCCAACTGTGGCAATTGCGCCATTTCGCTACAATTTTATATCTGTGCGCCTTGCTGCCCACGCTCGAATACAGCTTGTGCCAACTGCGCCAAAGTTCGCTAGTCTGCCTTTGCACACGGCGTTGGACCGTTTTTGGCAACAAAACTATTTTTGGTTACAGCAACACAACTAGAGCTTTTTCATAATGCTGCTGCTAACCAAAGTGCCTGCCTCTCTGCGTGTGTCTCGTTGTTGAAAGTTCAGCATGCCATAAATAGCCTCTCTTATTTGTTATGAAACTGGTGATAACGCAAAGAAAAGTCACCTTGAGTACTGTAATGTAGTGACCATAGCGAATGGGCAGCAGGTATCAGCACTGCGTGCTAGAAACATTGTATTCCCGCAAATTAAATTTCGGCCGTGAAACGTTTTGTTTGATATTTTGCAAAAAAAGTATACTCCTCTTGATCACGCTGCGCAATGTTCTTCGCTATGTCTATTATAAAGTGTGCAAGGGCTTGTCACGCGTCTTGATTTTCAGACCGACGGATCTAAACCAGCACACATAGTTATTAAGATGCGAATTCAGCCACAAAAAGAACAAAATGCTCTCATGCCTCCTTAATGCCGTTAGAACAATTGGTGTTGTCGTCAGTCCACCGAAAAAAAAAAGGCAGTTTCACTGCATGAGTGAAGCGATTAATGTGATAGAAACAAATTGCAATGTTATACGAAGTGAGGCTGGCAGCACACTTTTAAAGACCCGATCTCACACAAATCTGCAAAATGCTGGTTTAATTTAACAAAGTATGGCTGCCTCAGGAACATTCTTCGAGCTGGCGAGATAACGCGCGCTCCAGTGGCGACTGCGCTTGTAAAAATCAAAGGTCGCAGTTGGTGCTAGAACGACCCCCCCTTTGCCTTCACCCTCGCGTCTTTTGACACTAGTTAAGGACGGGCGGGGTGTTTATTCCCTGTTCAGAATTGTTAGACTGCTGGTTTTCTGATTAGATTTTATTTTTCGGAATGACCTTATCACACCTGTCATTTCGCAGAGACAGTATGCCCCATACTTACCTTGTCATGAACACATGTAACTGTTCTTGTCACTAACGCTTCACTTTTGCACATCTTGTGCAGTGCAGTGAAACCAGAATGTGACACTTTGGTGCTGAGAACCTGATTAATGGCTGCTTTCTGGATGTCTGCCTTTTCTCCTTGTTTACATTGTAGCAGCATTTCCAGTTTAAACACTAGTAAGAATATTCACTGAAACATTAGACATGTTCTGTGCCAAGTGATACTAAATTTCGTTTTTTCTGCTCCGAATCTGCTCCAAAACACAGTTCCTCCCGCTCCAAATTTGTTCCAAAACAGACTTTTTCCTGCTCCGAAAATTGCTTGAAATTGTAAATGGGGTAATCATCACTGAGAGGAAGTTACACAAATAATAACACAACCAGTTGCCAAAGGGTGTGTTTTTACACTCACCGTAGACGACTAAATAAAATAGACAGCTAAGTGGACAGCGGCCATCTTAAGTCCCATTTCAATTCTCTCATAGCTGGCAAAATAGACAGCTTCGAGAAGACATTTCTGTCCAAACAAGATGGCGGCTCGGTGCACTGCCTGGATGGCCTGAATTTCGGCGGAATGGTCATCTGAACACAAGCAGACGCTTTTTTAAATGCTTAGTGTGAACAACGTTCAAATTGTCGTAGATTTGAACATGCAATAAGCTAAGAAAATTACAGTTACAATTGTTTGTCTTGGCTTTATTTTTCTTGACGCGAAGTGCCGTCTCGTTGCGTAGAAGTCGTCCAGACGTGTTTCATTTCTCGGACAACATTGGTTAGATGCTGTCTTTTAAGCTGTCAGCGTAGACTGTCTACGATGCTGTCTTTAATTGGAACACAGCCAAACAAAAGTCGCTGACTGCGCTCAATATATATATATATAAGAATACCTCACAGACCCCATAGGGTGAGGGGGCATACAGTAGAATTCAACACATTGTAAAGAAAAATTTCCACAGAGTACAATTTCAGGGCAGTAGAATAAAATAACATAGAATAAAATAACAAGTAAAAAGATATTAACAGATATTTATATGTGCAAGAAAATTATTATTTGCGCACGACATAGTAAGTATTGCATGCCAGTAATATAATACAAAGTACAGACACAACACACATTGTAACAGCCACTATACAATGGCATCATTGTAAAAGAATAAAAAAAATGTGTTACAGTGATATGAAAAGACAGACGCGATCAGTTTGAAAAGCTCCCTTACAATAGCTTATCAAAAAGAAGGTTTACAAATAAAAAAAATCAAGGATACTAAGCCAAGTGTGTGGAAAAATGTTTGTTCAACTGAAGACAAAAGCGTCATGGTCTTTCAAGTGAAGCAATGTTGTCTGGTAAGCTGTTTCAGAGACGATTAGCGGGAGGTAGCGGGGAAAAATTGAATGATTGCGTCACACCATATAGGCGGGCGTAACTGAGAGTGTTGTGCAATCTTCGCGACGTATAGACTTGATGATTCAAACAGGGTAGTGATAAGTCGTCAGAGTGAATAACCTTATAGAACAATGGCAGCAATGCAATATTACAACGGGTACTTAACGACGGTAATGATAGTTTATTTTTTATTTGTGATACCAGACAGGTTACTATAGTTGTGAGCAATGAAAGGGCTTGCCCTATCCTGAATGATTTCTAATGCTTCAATAAGGTATTTCTGATGGGGGGACCAAATCAGAGACGCATACTCAAGCTGCTGTCGCACAAAAGTTAGATACGCAGTTTTCGTTAGGGGGAGGGTGCACTGCGCATGTTTCGATGCAAGAATCCTAATGGTTTGGATGCACTGGCACATACGCAAGTTATGTGCTTTGTCCATGATAGATTAGGTGTAAAGTGCACGCCTAGATACTTATGGGTCGCGATCGGCCATATGACACTACTGTTGATGTGATAAGAAAACTGTGATTAACAGGTTTGCGGGTGAAAGACATAATTTTAACACTTTCGACACGTTTAGTGTCATGAGCCATGTGTTAAACCACTGGTTTACTATTTCTAGGTTTCATTGAAGCGTGATATGATCATCAATGTTGGTTATTGGGCGATAAATTATGCAGTCATCGGCAAATATTCGTATGCGAGAGGTGGTGTTAATATTATTAGGCAGATCATTTATAAACAACAGAGGCCCAAGGGATGCTACCCTGCTGCACACCGGAAGAAATGATAGATTTAGAGGAATCGACTTCATTAACAAAAGTAAATTGCTCTTGATTGGATAGGAAGTTACGTAGCCATGACCATGTAGAGGAGTCCAGTTTTAGAGCTGAATGTTTTGATATGAGGCGGCAATGTGCAACGCGATCAAATGCTTTCGAGAAGTCAAGGAATAAGCAGTCTGTTTGTAAGAAGTGATTCATGTTAATGTGGATATCTGTTGTAAAATCGAGTAATTTTGTCTCGCAAGAAAGGTCTTTTCTGAAACCGTGTTGATTCGAGAAAAAGAAGTTGATCGAGTCGAGATGTTTGTAAACATGCGAAGCAATGACGTGTTCCAGCGATTTGCAGCAAATGCAGGTAAGTGAGATGGGCCTGTAGTTCTCACATGCATTTTTACTTCCATTTTTTTAGATAGACACTACTTTTGCTATTTTCCAGTCAGAAGGAAGGACACCGGACAATAAGGACTGCCTGAAGATGTGAAACAGGATGATGCTTGACATAGATATGGTGTTTTTTAGTATCTTAGAATTTATTCTATCAATCCCACACGATGAAGATAATTTAAGATTTTTTCTTTGTGAAGCAATGCCCTCAATCGTAATCTATTGGTGCCATGTGATTATAATCGAAATCGTGTGCAAGCGGTACCGCTGAGCTATCCTCACTTGTGAATACTGACGTGAAAAAGGAATTGAAAGCCACAGAACACTCACTCTCAGAAAGGGCAACTGCGTTGTCATTGTGCAAGACGATTTGTGAACTTCCTTGATTTGGGCTCAATGTTTTCCAAAACTTTGTTAGATTGTTCTTGAGTAATTGTGGCAGATCATTTGAAAAGTATTTATCCTTTGCTGTGAGCATGGCGGAGAAGTATCATTTAAGGTAGGCTTTGCAATCAGTCCATGCTGATGGTGTTCCTACGTGTTTGGCGTGCTTATACATTCGCTTTCTATTTTTCATACGGCTAAGGGTTTTTGTGAACCAAGGATTAGATGTACAGTTACTGATCTTAATGCGAGGAATGTATATATATATATATATTAATGTGGACACCTTTTCCCTAAACATCAGCCAATTTTCTTCAACTGACCTACTGTGAAAAGATGGCAGCATTTCATACTCCCAAAAGCTATCTAGTTCACTGTTTATTACGACCTA